TCGTTTTTGAAATGAGGAATTTGATTTGCGACTTGGAGTCACTTACGGTTTCTTTCATCTTTTCAACTTTTCTTTTCCATTCTAAAACAAGACGTTTCTTCTTTTAAAAAACAGCAAAATTTGATGTGTCAGCCCTCTCTACATTGGATCTTCTTCGTAAAGACTACAAAGCTTTGCCAACGGTTGAAAACAAAGATCTTTGCGTTGGCATCAGTTCTGTCAGTGGCTTATCACTTAGTGATTTCTTCTCAAGAACTCTAGTCCATCACAGCATTTCGGAATACTGCCAGGCCTCGTCTCTGGATGTTTTAATTATCATGTTTCTCTATTTTGTTGAAAACCTTGATGATCCTCCCAGTAGGCAGATTGCTGTTTGTGGGCCACACGAGGCAGCCAAGAGCAAAATTGCAGAACATTTGTCCACGTCAGGAGAACTTAAATTGAAGCTGAACGATGAACGTTTCCAAAACTGCTTCGTTTATGATCAGGACAACATAGTGGCATCGAGGAAAGTTGTCTTTCCTCTTGTACTGGACATCATCAAGAATAGATTTTGAAGCGCACTGCTTTTTTTTCAGGAAAATGTTTATAATACTTTAGAGGGGGCTTGACTCCCCTTTGTAATGGCCTTACTTCGGATGTTTGTGTTCATTATCAAATTTTAAGGCATGTTCAAACGTAGGTTTCCATAACTTTGCATGAGGTGCTTCCTACGGTGAAATAGGCGGCTATTCCCGAAAAGGTGCTGCAGGGCGAAACTCAAGCATGACAACGTGCTCGCAGGCTCAACAGACGAAGGTAAGAAGTCTGACAGGCAGCGGTTGGCCTCCGTAAAGCGAAACCCAAACACCTGAAACACGAGGGTTGTGACTTAAATGGATACTCCAAAATCAGGTTTCCGAGTGAGGACTGGAACCATTATTGCCTATTACTTCATTATTTACCGAAAAATAAATTATTTAGTTCTAGTCCTTACTCGGAAACTTGATTTTGGAGTATCCATTTAACAACCGAAGCAAGAGAGCGTGCTCACAGGCTCAACAGACAGCGGTAATAGGTCTGAAGGGCAGTGGTTGGCCTCCGTAAAGCGAAACCCAAACACGAGAGCGTGCTCGCAGGCTCAACAGACGGTGGTAGTAGGTTGGCCACCGGTAACCAGCTTACGTGGAAACCCTTGGTTCAAAGAAATGCACGCAACCATAGATCCCCAGCGTTTTACGGAAAAGTCAATTCAAAGGTGATGATGGTCAAACAGCTGACGTTTAGAATTAAAATACTCAGAGGAAGAAGAAATAAGCTGGCAGAGAGGGACACACAAATACGTCGACTCCAATAGGGTTATTTTTAGGCTTATTAAATCGAGATGAAAATTTCTCTCCCCAAACTTTCTCCTTTGTATTTTCTCGTTAGAAATATATTTTCTTTCCTGTTCGAATTCATTTTTTATCTAATCTCAATGCAGCGCATATTAATTATATCAATTTTCCCTTCTCCTTCCCCCTCCCATTTAACCAAATCCCCATGCAAATAGTCATGCTGTTGTATGGTCATTTATTTGAGATAGTTGGCGTCTAATTACAAGATAAACTTTGTTTTGAATACTGGTCATGGCCTTTTTGACTTGGGAAATTGGTGCTTTTTAATCCTTCAGCCGCCTATTTGGAATATCCTCCCTCCCCCTGCACCCGCGCCTTATCGGTGCGCCTGCCGTAGATTTTATCTCGTACACTTTACACTGAAACTTGTACGTGAATTTATATATGGAACAAGGCCATGATGACAATAGATAGACACTCGATACATTTGAAAAGAAATAAACCCTTCGAAAAGGGAACTGTTATTGGTCAATTAAATCAAAAGACACATTTTTATTCAGGAAGGTAAAATTTCAAGGTGATATTTATTACCCGGCCTTTTGCATTCTTGTCCAAAACTCTTACAGTGAATCCCTCTACTTGGAATTTCGAATGGGTGTGATTTGGGAAGGAGTCGAGCGAACCTGACGAAATTCAAGGAGATAGTGATTCCATATTGCCATGCTTCTGTCCGGTAGTGGATCAAAGATGACGTCGATATATGTTAAGAACAAAAAGTGGCACATGAGGCGCAGTCGAATTTTTGTACAGACCCACGTCAATATGAAATGTTTAAGTTGATGAAAAAGCACAAAATGTTGTTAATAGTGACGTCATCTATGCTGCTGTCCTCCAATAGATCACAACTAAGAACCAATCCAAATGCGTGCGTAATTCAGCTTATTACGCAATAGCATCATATCAAATTGGACGAGTTTTACTCCCTGTCGCGAAGAGCTCCTATCCAGGTAGAAATAACAATATATTCCAAGACGCATAATGCCACGGGAACCGGCAGGAGCTACGTTGTTAAATGACCTTTTTTCTCGTACAAACTTTACCTTTGCCTTTATTACCTTTAGTTACAGACAATGAAGTTACTTGTGGAGAGGATTGTCGCGCTGTTGTTTGTGCTTGGCATGTTAATCTTGAAAAACAAAATAGACATCGTTGTGGGTTAAGAAATTGAGAAGTTTAATGGAAATTATCCGCTGTAAGCTTTTTATTACTATTTCTGTTGTTCGCGTTTTTGAGATAGGCTTCTGAGGTAGACACTCGTGATTTTGCGATGACTGGAAAATGTATTATTTTTAGATTTCCCTACAACCCTCTCTCCATGCTTCCTTTGACAACTGAAACCGATTCAATTTATAGAATTGCAAATTCTTGCATACAGAAAGAAAAAAATAAAAATTTTATTCATCAGACGGAAGGTCTGTATCAGGAAAAACTATGCCCTCTGTCTTGAGTATCGGCCTACGGCCTAGGGCGATACGCAAGACTACCAGCACAGTTTTTCACAATACGGATCTCCCGTCTGGTGAAAAACATTTATTGCAAAAATTCTATTATCGTCCAGCTAAAGGAAGCAAAATTTCACCGCGCCTGTCTTCAAAAGGCTATCTTTCCTTTACTGTTTATGTTGATGTTTCCGCAGAAAACTTACGCGGGTCTGATCTTTGAATCTTTCCGTCAAAAAGTGTCGTCATTTTCGTGTGCTCAATCTCTTTCTTAAAACCATTTCTCAGGTCTCTTCAACTTCCTTTTTGATTTTCAGTTGCTCCAAACAATCAAAAGCATTATGGAGTGTCAGTTCACGTTATGCAAATACTTAATCTCTATTGTTTGGCCATCAAATGAAATCTATAGTTATCAGAGTAACGAAAATGCAAATACTGTAGTTTACTACGTGTGTTGGAAATATGTTTGATGCATGTGATGCGAAAAAGTACCAAGGCAGATTTACCGCTGATGCCGTAGCGACTAAATTCCTTCACAGGGGGCCCACACAAGCGGCGTGTCTGGTCGTTTGTTCGAAATATAAAGAAATGTATCGGAGAATATCGAAAGTCGTAATATCGTAAACTCATATCAAGGAATGTCTATGTCAAGGCTCAAAATAAATGTAAACCTACCTCACTTGCCGCGTATTGTCGTTTCTGTGGTTCTAAATAGCGAATTTGAGCGATTTGGTAGATTTTGCGTTCACTGTTACTCTACTGTATAAGAAGGAGACAAGGGTGGAAACCCGGGGGGTACTCCCTTATAAGGGCTTAATGGGGACATGCGGCCAGCCAGGGTATGTTTTTCGAGATTTTTTCTTAAACAGGGTATCGAATTTATCATTTTTTGTCTTAATCAGGGTATCGATTTATCAATTTTTGTCTTAAACAGGATATCTTTTCTTGGAGGATAAACAGCAAAATTTTTACAAGCTCTAATTTTAATTAATATTGAATTCCGTTGATTTTGGCATTGATACCAGGCACATTAAATGTCTTAAACAGGGTATCAAAAGTCGGAATTCTGTCTTAAACAGGGTAGGAAAATCAGCGATATTTGTCTTACGATTTACTTAAATCCGTGAGCCCCAAAATTAAACATTCTCATTCTAAAATTAAACATTGCACATTTTTAGCGTCACGCAGGATTTTAGTCATATCCTGCACGTAATATTTTTAGGGTGTTTTTTCGCTGTTCACATCCTTGTTGGAACGTGATCTGTACTACAATGATAAGGTATAAAATAAGTTCCTTCACTATCTTGTTCATACTCCCTGACGAAGTCTGTGTTTTCAGACGAAACCGGTAGGAGAAAATAAAGAAGTTGACAAGATCTGTTGCTGTGTGCTGCCCACTAGAGTATATTAAAAAGCAAACAAACAAACAAACAAACAAACAAAAACCAAAACAATTTAAAAAATGTGGTCGCCATTGCTTAGAAACCAGGCTCAACTCAGTAGCCAAGCCTACCTGCCCAGGCCTTTGCGTGACCTTATTCGTTTTGGGTGGTTTTTGGGTGGTTGTGGGTGGTTTTGGATAGTTTTGGATGGTTTTGGGTGGTTTTGGATGGTTCCATGTTTTAGTAACTACCATGTATAGAAAAATGCTGTAAATTCGATGATTTTTTAAAGTGGAAGTCGCAAACCCACTCTTTCCAGACAAGCAAATAAAATAACCCACCGATTTAAAAGCAAGGAACTCAGTGAGCTGAGTTTGCTTGATCTAGCAAGAGCATTTTGAGAGCCAAAATACGAGTATGATCATTATTTACTAAGAACCTTGGTGATCGTACAATGAAGTATTGAAGCACTTTGAGTTGTGGGTTCGTTTGAGTATTTTATATTTACGTAGAAACTTTGTTATATCTAGATTGTTTTTCCAGGCCCCAATTTAAACCAGCTTTAAATTAAACTGGGTTAGCCTGTTTAAATATTTCCAATGAATAAACGAATGAAGTAGTTTAAAGCGAAAGCCGGAGAGTCCAAAGTTATTTAACATTTAAGAGCCACTGACCATAAATATCGAGAATCCGCCGACAGTTGCAAAATGTCGTAATTCGTTTTATTTTTTCTAAAGGACCCTTTTAATGAACCTTTTTTCGAAAATTATATCAAAAAGTTCTATCGCGCTTTTTTTTTCCCGAAAATTCGAAAAGTTCGAAATACGCTTAAATGACCGTTGTCCCCCCCGTACAGCAATGAAAAATTATGCAAATTCGGCAACTTCGTTCGCTACAACGCGATGCAATCCCGCTTTTAAATTTTGTACGCTAGCAGATGGTCCGTTAATCTCTTAAAAAATATTAATTTCTTGTTATTTTGTTACGTTTAAGTCTGAGTAGTAACCCGTTGAAATAAAGTACTTCGCGCCTCTTTCGCAGAGATAAAATAAAGGTCAACTTCAGTAGCCTATGAACAGGTCTGCCACATATACTAACAAATCCTAATGTACATCATCGTAAAGCTTTATCCTTGTATTTTAATTCCTCCAATTCTCTATCTTGGCTCGCCATAAGCGGACTTCCACGTTTATTTTATTTATTATTTTATTATTATTATTTTATTAGCTTTGCCCTGAAGAATACAAAAAAAAAAAAAAAACTGAGGATATACAATCCTAGTAATAAGTAATAAGAACATAACAATGCACTAATAATAACTTTAAAATTTGGGCAGTATATAAATAATATGTAAAGTATATATAATAGATATTTATAAATATATGAAGAATATAAAAAAGTAGCAACTTAAATCACATGCAGCAGCTAATTTCTTGCCCTAAAAACCTGGCTGTGTTACATTTCAAACAAATGCTTTTGAAGCTCCTTGGAGAATACGGGTCATAGTTTACTGCTAGAGCCCGCGAGTAATAACCGTAGAGAACAGATTTACAGTTCTCAAGGGTAACATTATCTAGGTCGAGTCTAATAATAAGCAGGTTCCAGATTCTAGTGGTTCTAATGAAAAAATATTTCTGAAAGGTAGAAGTCCTGCATTTTTAAGGCACAAAGGATTGAGAGCTCATTACGGATGTACGGGTCCTATGCGCGCATTCGCGCACGAAGGGAACAACGGACGGATCTAAGTGAATCATATTCTGTGTAGCCATGTAAAAGTAAACTAGATCTAGTTTACAAGAGTTTGGGCTATTTTGTCAAAAATGCAATGCGAACCACTCAACAGATGTCACGACGCATTGAAAGGCCTTTAAAAAGGTCTTGTATGATATATTTACAAATCAAAATATATATCATCTTAAAGCTTTATCCTTGTAGTCTAAGTCCTCTAAGTTTCTTTCTTGGCCCGCCATAGGCGCGTCTAGCTTGAAAAGAGTTCAGGCTAAAATGACAAAAAACCTAATGCGATCCGTTGAAGGGCTCTCATGTAAGAGGTTATATATTTGGTACATTCCTGGCCAAGTTAAAGCCCCGGCCGTCTACACGAGCAATTTTTATATGGCAATTTTTATGTGGCAATTTTTATTTGCCCGTGTAGATGATGAAAAATGACCAATTTTTATGCGACAACTGCATTTGCTGAAAAGCTGGCGTGTTAGTTTTTATGTGGCAAATAAAAAT